AACCTAGGACACGTTGTCTAAATTGTCACTGGGCCACCAAGATCACTGGGCTCATGGGCCTCCCATGGTCTGGTGAAGAGACAGACCCATCAACAGAGAAATGCCAAATGGTGTGGGGGGCTTTGGCCAAGCCACAGCCAGAGGAGGGGTATGTTGGTTCCCGTGGTTAAGAGTATCATGCTGGGTAGTGCCTGTGGCTCAAAGGAGGAGGGTGGTGGCCTCATATGCTGGAGTTGGTGGGTTCAAACCCAGCCCTGGCCAAAAACTGCAAAAAAAAAAAAAAAAAAGAAAAGCATCATGAATTGGGAGTGTTTGGCTAAGACCCCTCAGTTGCTGGAGGTGTTGTTTCTGAGATGCCAAGGGAAGCTTCCAGCATAGTGGCGACAGGACAGGGAGCCAGTGGGCTCGGCCGTGGAGGGCCCGTGGCTTCTCAGGCACCTGCCAATTGCATTTGCCTTCTCTGACCCAGCTTATCTACAGCTCTGCTGTTTCAGCTGGGGCTGTTCTCTATATGCTCCCAGGGGTTTTCCAGTTCTTTTCCTGGAGTGTGAAGTCCTGAGGGCCCCTCTGAGAGCACCCCACCCATGAGACACTGTGCTCACCCTTTCTATTTCAGGAAATGGCCCTTGTCACACTGTCAGACAATCATGTTATGCTACACACTGGGCTAGGCATGGTCATAAATGTTTTTACTTCAGTTTTGTCACGAATAGACAATCCCAGCCTCTGTGAGGGAGGGAGCCTCTCAGCTTAGTGGCTCAGCTGAGGTCACACAGTGAGTACCTGCCAATGAAATCATTGAGGGCCGGGGTTGTCTCCCTTTAAAGCCTGTGTTTCCATGTTTGTGCTAGGCTGGTGTTCAAAACAGCACACACAAGAGATGTATCAACAAAAACAAATAAAAGCTCACTAGAAATCATACCTCTAGACCCAGCAAATTCATGCCTAGGAATTTAAGGAAATGAATGAATGAATAAATGCATACTAATAAAAGAACCCGGGACGCTGAGATCCCGCTTCACTGTTTGCACTTATCTTTCATGCCCATTGGCTATGGGATCCCATACGGGCTCTCATCTCCCCATTCTACAGGAGTGGTTACTAAGACTCTGATTGCCACTCAGCCAAGGTCACATGGCTAGTGAGGTGATAGGCCCTGAATTTGTGCCCAGGTCTGACTTCCCATCCTGAGCCCCTTCACCTACTCATTGCAACCCTCGACTTACAAATGCTCACCTGAGTGAGAGCCCTGGTGAATGTTATTGTTGTCTTAGTCTTACAGATGAGAGGCTCAGAGATGTGTGGCCACCTGCCCAGGGTCACATAGCTCATAAAATAGCTGCAATGCTGTTTGTATCCAGGCCTTCTTAGTCTAATCCCCTGCAAGCCTTCCACTGTCCACCTGTGCTCTGCTGGCTGTGGAGGCTGCCTCTCCTGTGTACTATAGAGTGCTGGGCACATGGGCTGCTGAACCACCAAATACTTGAGCTCTTACTAGCTGCTAAGTGCTCTAATAGCACAGGAGACTCAGTAGGGAGGACAACAAATCCCTGCCTTACATTCTAGCAGGGAAGACAGACAAATAGATACATGTAGGGCTAAGAATA